TTGCTGTCGCTCTCAGCTGTGCTGCTGTTGCTGTGCTCCTCACCAGAGGAGTGGGCACGCAGCTAGAAGAGCTCAGACACCTTGTATAAACCCTCGAGGGTATAGGGTTTAGGGTTTAGCTGCGGGAGCAAACCCTAAATCCTAGGGGCCCATGTTGCTGTTGCTCTCAGCTGTGCTGCTGTTGCTGTGCTGCTCACGAGAGGAGTGGGCACGCAGCTAGAAGAACTCAGACATCTCGTATAAACCCTAAACCCTAAACCCTAATAAGGGTTTAGGGTTTAGGGTTTAGCTTATATCTAGTAAACCCTAAACCCTAGGTGCTCATGTTGCAGTTGCGCTGAGTTGTGCTGCTGTTGCTGCTGTACTCACTAGAGGGGCAGGCATACAGCTTAAACCCTCAAGGGTTTAGGGTTTAGGGTTTAGGGTTTAGCTTATGTAGTAAACCCTAAACCCTAGGTGCTCATGTTTTCTCTGCACTCAACTGTGCTGCTGACTTTAGGGTTTAGGGTTTGACCCTAAACCCTAAACCCCAATAAACCCTAATCAATAACCCCCAATATATTCTACTAATAAACCCCAATAAACCCTCGTAAACCCTAATTTATAAACCCTAACTAATAAACCCTAATCAGTAAACCCTAATAAGGGTTTATTAAATAATAAACCCCAAACCCTAATAAACCCTAATACACGCAAAGAACCCGATAGAATGAAGTCTAACAAACCCTAATAAATAAACCCTAAACCCTAAACCCTAATAAACCCTAGTAAACCCTACATGATATAGCTTGCTAAGCCGCATTGACTAAACCCTAATAAGCCCCATTAAACTCTCGCTCTAGGGTTTAGGGTTTAGGGTTTAGTGTTTAATATTATTATTACATATATAGTTGGGGTCTTCTAGGGTTAATAAACCCTAATAAAAAGCAGAATGCAAACCCCTCTCACCCTCAACTAGGGTTTAGGGTTTAGGGTTTAGGGTTTAGATCGAAGAGAGCCAGAGAGAAGGAGACAGACAGCTGAGGGGAGCCTGGGGGAGA